CAATGTTTAGCAAGTAGCATTCACATGAGTTTGGAGTTCTTTTCAACTCTCCTGGTCCTGAACCTTCTAGCCGTTAGCGCGTCTATCTGGTCAGAACAAGGTTTGCAGCACAATCCTTTAAAGCCATCCTTTTCTGGACAGTTAAATGTGTTCAATCAACTCAAGACAGCGTACAGTAATTTCCTATTTGTTTTCAAAGCTGTATCAGCCTATCCACGTTTTAGCAAGATACTCAGGATCTGTTTCAATTAAAGACAGAGGAGGTTTGTTGTGATGATAGAAAGTTGGTCTTCAAAGTCATATTTTTGTGCAAAACTAACCTCATTAGTAGCATTAGGATAGTTTTTTTTATTCATGATTGAACCTTTAACTGCGAGGTCAGCACACTGAACTCAACCAAGAATTTTAAAAACGTTCAAGCTAATGAAAAAGGTTAAGCATAATTATTGCAGTTTTTATTTTATTATGACTCTTATTTCCCCAAATAAGGAACAGAGTAATTTTTGTGCCATTCAACCATTAGCACCAACACTGCTGGAGCAGGTGAGTTGGGGAAAAGAAAAATTTGCTTTCAAAATAAAATGTTTAATGGACATGCAGAAGAAGCTACACAAGTACTTTTGTGGTATGGAACCAAAACAATTCATAAAGTTTTTCCAGCTTTGTCTTTCTGAAGGAAGAGTGAGCTCCGGCTTCAGCGGGCTTACCATTGTAATCAGAGCTCCGAGCCATCCTCCCTGCTCTGGGACTCTGGAGTGGTTTTGAGAGTGGGCCAGACATTCCTGAAGAGATCGCCGCCCAGACACCCAGCAGGAGCCAGTCAGCAACAAATTCCAGAATAGCAGTGCTGCTGCTAAAAATAGTCATCTGGACAGGAGAAGATTGGAGAGCTGGGCGAGCGGAGGAGAGGGAGAGAGGTGAGGTGAGGTGGGGGTTTGGTCGGAGCTTGAATGATAGAGTGGAAGCTGAGCAGGAAAGGAGGGTGGTTTATTCCATTCCAGATCCAGTCACAATGTTATCACAGCAGTGCAGAGGAGAAGGAGTCCTGCAGGCGTGTGACTTAAAAAAAACCTGTGTGAGTTGGAAAGAACGAAAGTACATAAAATCTAAACATGTGCACACGTGCGCTCGGCTATTTCTGTGCATGGGATTGTTATAAAGGATTCAGAGCGGCCTCTCAGACTGTTATTCCTGTAACAATGTGTCTGCGAACTGAGGGAACACGTGCTCCACTGTACTCAGGCCTTTCTCCATGCCTTGCTTTCTGTTTATTTTTTCAGCAATGAAAGTGCAGCTCGGTTTGCAACAGCCTCCCCAAACCTTTGCTGTGGAACATCCTGCCTGCAACAGCAGCAAGACACGCCAAGACAGCACTGGCCTTGCCAAATTCTTCACAGCTTTCTGCTCAATTTGCAGAATATCCCTCCACCTCCTCCTCCTTCCTCTTCTTTCTTCATATGAAGCCATTTTCCTTTCTGGAGACAAAAAGAGTTGTAAACTGATTCGGAGTGCATGTAAATTCTTCAGCTTTCATGTCTCAAATCCCTCTGCGTGTGATGGCTTTTATTCGCTTCGGCTCAATGGAGGCTGCAAATGGAAGTGGCCTCTCTTTACGTTGCTGCTCCAAGCCAAAAGCAGAGATTAGTTTATATCCTCCAACATAACGCAGACTTCCACATCTGCAGGGCATGGGGATAGAGTCACCCTAAAACAGGGGATCGAATATTTGAGAGGAGGTTTGGCGGTTTGCAGCATGTTATTAAGAAAAATCCCTCACCCCTTGGGAGCAAGCATGCTCACCTTCTGTGGAGGGAAGGAGGAGGGTAGCAGTGGAGAAGGCTCAGAGGGGATAGCAGCTGGACCTTATTTAAGGGTCACAAAGTGAACCAGAAATTGTTCTGAAGGCATAAAAATCCCTTTGAAACTGAGATTGTATCAGTATCAGGGCGCAGCTGAACTGAGAGGTTTTCTTTTTCTTTTATTTGTTCTGTTTCAGCCTTTGTTTTAAAGAAAATATGAGCGCAAGTACTGAAACAGATGGGTTGTTTTTAGTGTTTGCATCCAACTGAATGTAGTTCCTCACCTTCTCTCAAATAGGCACACGTTTAGAACAACCAAGAACAACTGGTGTAATTTCCTACAGAGTTAAAAAAAGATACTCACTTAGAAGGTATTTCTAACATGAACTCTGCCTTTATAGAAAACACCAAGTTATTAATATTCAGAAATAGTTTCCATGTGTTTTTCAGGAGTCCCAAATTCTACACTTCTCACAGATGTTTTTGCTGCTGTCTTTGAAGGCCTGAAGCTCATGTCTGGCCGCAGCTAAGGATGCTTTCCTACTCATCAGAACCAAAGCCTTGAAAAAAACTCCGAGAGCTTCCAGCCGTCCACCCACCCCCTCTGTAAAATGTGGATCAAATTAACCCGGCAGCAGCAATCTTCTCCCTCGACAATCAATTGACTCTCCAAGTCCTAAAAACAGACATTCTTGTTTCTTCTCGGAGCCAGACGTCCATGTTGTCTGCTGCTGTTTGTTTGAGTCTGTCCATTTTCTAATTACCACAAAATTGCATTTCTCCAGAGAACACAAAATACTGTTACAGTCTGTCTTTTAGGAAATTACCAGCAGGTGTGCTAGCTACAATAAAGACTTCCAACACAAAGCTGCCCAGAGATTTCATTGGAATTCTTTTCTCAAATGGAAGGAAAACTGACTGCATGATTTGTCTCGTTAAGGTGCAAACAAGTCCACCATGCAGTCAGCTTAACAGAATTTCCTTTGCTGCAGTTTTAAAGCAAACTGTGGAAAAAGAAAACACATGAAGCAGACAAAAAAAATCCGTGTAGATGGAGGTAAACGGTATATCTACTTGCCCAAGTGTTCACATAAACCATCAGGTAGAAAATTCAAGTTTTGTTATGAATAATGACATTTGTTAGTTTGAATCAGCTGAGAGGAGAACCTATAAATAACAAGAAAGCTTGTCCTTTTGGTTGAAATAAGCTGTAAACACAAGATGTGAGTACATAGGTGGCCTGCAATGTCAATGAATAAAATTTACAATAAGAACCTAAATGGCATTGACGTCGCATGGGAAATCCATCCATCCATCTCCTGAACCCGCTTGTCCATGCTGGTGCCTATCTCCAGCGGTCAACGGGCAATTAGGCGGGGTACACCCTGGACAGAGAGCCAGTCCACTGCAGGGCAACACAGAAGCACACAGGACAAACAATCACGCACACTCACTCACACCTAAGGACAATTTAGACAGACCAATTAACCTAACAGTCATGTTTTTGGACTGTGGGAGGAAGCCGGAGCACACGGAGAGAACCCACGCATGCACAGGGAGAACATGCAAACTCCATGCAGAAAGATCCCAGGCTGGGAAGCGAACCCAGGACCTTCTTGCTGCAAGGCAACAGCTCTAACCACTGTGCCACTGCGCAGCCCTGTTGCATGTGAATGTTTTCCTATTTCTGCATTGTTCATAGCATCACTCAATCCCTGTCTATCTATTGGAGGGCCTGACTGACCACTCTTGGAAAGCTTAGGAAATAGCTGGAGTAACTGACCACCCCACTGGTAGACCATCAGCTCCTGGCTGAGGAATTGGATGCCACTATGCCTAAAAACAAGATCAGACAGGTGATATTTTCACAGTTTTTTGGGGGCCTACCAACACATTTAGCTCTTTCCAAGATTGCACGATCCTTACTTTTGTACCTCATAGTAAAGGTGGTCAATCAGGCATAAAATAACTTGCTAAAAAGCTTTCATAACAAACAAATAATCAGCCACACACACACGTCCTTACATTTTTGTGCAAAAAACTAAATTCCTGTAAGAATAAATATGATGCACTCTGATGATCGCGTGTATCCATAGTAGCATGCAAGGAACAGTTTAGCAGGCGTGAAGTGGTCCAAGAGCCGTTCTGATTTATGTTTCCTCTATTTAAAGTGGTTACTATTGGAATCTATTGTAAATTGAAGCTGACCATAAACGCTGAGCACTTTTACAGCCACTTTCAAGTCCACACTAAACAACTTAAAAAAAAAAAGCAGCATGGGTGGAGTATCACTTTAACATCCATCGAGTTAATTTCTTTTTAAATACAGATCCTGATGCTGAGTGGAAACATTGGCTAATTTCAGCCTGCTGACTGGGCCCATTTTCTGTGTTGGTGCTGCTGTGGATGGGCCGGCCTGCTCTTTAGCAAACCAAGACGTTAATAAAACGTCACAGTGACCTGCAGTCTCTTAGCAGTTGACCCAGTAGAATGTCATTTTCTGACATGAACCAAACCAGGACATCGCTGTTGACCTGCTTTGGGCAATGGAGGGGTTAGGCTCATGTTCTTAATAAGGAAAGTAAAGCAGGACAGCTCCCACAGTGACTGATCTGCATGTGTCTAATTGAAAAAGGAGGAAATGTAAAGGGTGATGCATATGGAGCTCTACTACAGTCTAATCTTTGGGATAGCTTCTGTTCACAATATAGAAATAAAGTATAAAAGTGCAAAGAGCTGCAATGTGGAGTGGTTGGGAGTTGGTTCGACCTGCTGTCTTGCCGCAAGAAGGCTCTGGATTTGGAAGCTTTCTTCGTCTTCTCGATGTGATTGGGCCTTCTATGGGTATTCAAATTTCTTCCCACAGTCAAAGTATGCATGTTATGTTAAGCAGCAACTCTGACCTGACCTTCAGTGTGCATGTGTAAAAGGTTGTTCATCTCTGTGCTCCTGTAATGGTATTTGCCTGTATTTGTATAGCACCTTCTTAGGGTTCTACAACCCCCCGAGGCACTTTACAACACAGTCATCAGTCATTCACCCATTCACACACACTGGACTTGGTGACCTGTCCAGGGTGTCCTCCACCTCTCATTTAATGATTCCTGGAGGTAGACTCCAACTCCCAGCCACCCTGAACAGGACAAACTGGGAAACGATGGGTAAATGGGCAGGAGAAAAAAAAACTCAAGAAAAAAAGTGGAAGTTTCAAGATCAGTTTATTTGGGTTGATACAGTGAAACAGGGGCATTGTGTCGACCTGAAATGTGAATTAAGACATATTACAGGCTTTGAGAAACTCCTAACACGCTAAACCGCTGCTCCCCAGATGAGATGAAACCACTCCATTTGAGACATTTTTAATTGTACGCAGTGTGTCTAAATCACAACACACTGTCTAAAATGGCTTGATCAATAAATGCAAATACAATTTTTAATATAAAAAAATTAAAAGTTCACAAAAAATACCAAAGGCACACAACCTAAACCTTGGCAGTCCAGGATCAGCCCACCCCCACCCCACCCACACAAAAACAAAAGTAATGAGCAGTAAACAAATTAATACTTAAATAAGATAATAATACTAATTCATTATTATTATTATTGTTGTCATAACAATATCCAGTCAAGTTTTCCTATGATTAAGCTTTCTGCTAGCAGATATGCATCATCTATTTCCAGTTTGGCAAAGTTAAACTTTCATCATTGGGTTCTTTACATTGCTTTGTTTGGCCCAGTTATCGTTGGACCTCCGCTTCTTTGGTAGACTAAGGAGTCCAGTTTCCTCGGGGTAAATATTGGCACTTTACCAAATTCCTTGTAAAGCTTTGAATCTTCTTTTCCCCCACTTAAGGGTAGTTTTACCCTCAGGTGTACCAAAAACAGCAGGTAATGAAATTAAAACCCCAATTTCACATTAGATCAGTTTTTTTTTCTGAGAGAAATTCTCAATACTTCAAGATAAGGAAGTATTTTCCCACCGTACATAAAAGCAATATAACATTTCTTACATTTTGGAAAATCAAAAACAGAAGCATAATAACACAAAATACTAACATAGTATAATTTTCTCACTGTTAATCCAGTTGACAATAAAAGGCAATACACAATAAAAGCAATAAAATACAATATAATAAGCATTGAGTCTTTCGTTAAACGCCAGGATCTTTCCTTCACATGGGCTGACTACTGAAAACATTCAGGATCTTTTTATTTTATCTGGGGTCATCTACCGCATGTTTTCCCATCCGCATCATTTGATACTCGGTCATGGTTCTCCAGGATCTTTGCCCCGTTAAAACACGTAACATGCTTTCCAAGGCCACGCAGTCGAACACTGGACCACTACACAAGCTGCATCAACAGCCTCCAGCATCCAAAACTAAAAACAAAAGAACACACGTGGATTGTAAGTGAGGTACGACCATAGTAGGGATTAACACAATCGCCATCGGGGATCGTCAAGTTAAAAACTCAACCTGCACATTTCCTCTTAACTTAAACCTCATCACATCTTTGGTTTAAAACAAACAAACAAACAAAAATAATAACTTCCATCTACTCTTTCTACTCACTTTCTTTACTTCCACTAGTCTACATAACAAATCCCTCATGAAATAAATCCATCTTGACCATTTTTTCTGTGTTTCACACAAAAAATAAAGCCCTCTCAAATCCCTTCATCACATCTCTTTCACACACTTTGTCCTCCGCCTGCAGCTATCTCTACCCCACTCGTACGCTCGAATAAAAACAATGGCTGGCGGATTGTGCTTGGTCGACATAATGAACTGAACACACAGCTGGAGGGGGTGCTGCTGAGCACAGACCACGGATCCCACCTGTGCCGAGTCCGGTCTGCGGGCTGATAAGAGATCTCTAGCATGAGCACGTCTCTGGTTTTAGTCTCAGGAATTTGCCGTGTCATCGACAAGCTAAAACAAAACCACCTTACTTAGCTCTTTCGAAGAGCTGTGGGTGAAATATTAACTAGTCCCACAATAGAAAACACCTTAAATATCTTTGGTTAAAAAAAAGGTAAAATTATAAACTGCATCTCTTACCAAAAGGGTACATTTCACTAAATGTGTTTAATATCTGGTTTAAACTCTGCTATGAACGACGTGGCCTGCAGATGCTGGTGGATTTGTATGGAAGTGGGCACACGGCAGGAAAAAAGAGGTCGGATTGACCTTGTTTGACTTTTGAACCCTAAAAAGAAGTGAGTCAGCTTTGCTCCGAAGGCCCTGCGTTTCTCCACATTCTCCAAAAACATCAAAAATAAATCCAAACTGGTAAAAAGGTGGTCTGGCTTTCCCCTCCACTTTAAGGAAATGACATACATAATTTTGTTATGAATCAAAAAAGGCACTTCCTACATTTTCCCTAGTATCATACGCATATATAGGACACACACTTTTCAGGAGATACACTTGCCTGCGTTAGTTACATGCGCAGTTATATTATATTACGGGTATAAACGTTTCTTATCGCTGAGTAACTTAATTATATATGTCAGTTTCACAAAAAGAGCTGGAGACACGGAGCTTCCAGTAACAGCCAGACACCCGCCAGTTTCACACCAAAAACTTAAAAATATTAATAAATAAAAATTAAAAAATTTTTTAAACAAGACCCTGGTTTGTTTCTTCTTTTTAAAGGAAGTTAAGATCACAAAAGCGTGTGCTCTATGTGAGTTTTTAAGGTGCTTTTGTAAACTCCTATTCAACATGGGTGGTGTAAGAAGAGAGCCAACGAGTTTCTGGTTGCAGCGTTTGTGATTTCAACTTGCCTTCTTGCTAAATATGTAAACATGTTGAATGCAGCAAAGTCTACGGGCGGGCCGAGAAAGCAGAATGGGTGGCATTCTCTCGTGCCAACTCTGAGCCTCTCCTGTTCAAAAACCTTCAGTGAATTTGGCCAAATAACTGTGTGTGTGTGTGTGTGTGTGTGTGTGTGTGTGTGTGTGTGTGTGTGAGAGAGCAAGATGATATTGCATGAATCAAGATTTCAACCCAATTTGAGAACTTGCAGCCTCCCTACAGGTGAATCCCAGTAATACACTGGTCGTTAATGTCTGACACACACACACACACACACACACACACACACACACACACACACACACACACACACACACACACACACACACACACACACACACACTTGAATCCCTTGGCTGCTTTTCTCTCCACCGCCCGTTCTTTAGCTGAATTTACTGCTGATGTCCAGGGCTTGCTGGTACACCTGAGTCATGTCCTCCAGATCCCCCAGCAAGGAGAAGCTGCCGTTGTCCCCCGGGGAGCCTTTTGCTTTGGGGCCCCGACTAATCTTAGGTCCCTGAAGAGGCGGAGCTGCCTGGAAGCCCTTGAAGTTGGCAAGCTGCAGCAGGTTTTCAGCTGAGACGCAGGCCCTGATGTTTGGGCGGAGATGTGGGGTGGAGGGGTGCCACTCGGCCCCACTGAGGGAACTCGGTGACAGGGACAGGACAGAGCTGTCCTCCCCCACTATGCTGGAGGGCCGACTCTGACTGCGTGACAAACCAGAGTCGGCAGGTGGAGGAGGTTCGCCGATGATTCCTGATACTCCTGCTGAAGAGGGTGGCCCGCTGTAGGTGGAGTACTTGCCGTTTCTCTTCAGGATGCCCTTTCTCCCCATGGCCCTTTTGGGTGGAGAAGTGGCTAACAGAGACATGCTGGCTCCTCCTAAAAGCTCAGAGGACTCGCTGCGCTCTGGGGAGGAATAGTACCCTGATTCCCGCTGCTGGTTGTTCTTCAAGATGCCTTTCTTCGGTAGAGTAGGTACCATCTTAGCCGGCGAGCCCCCTCCTAGACTTGGCTCCTCTTCCTCTCTTTCTGGGCTCGAAGCCTCCTCTCCACCTTCAGCTTGCTGAGGCAATGCTGCTTGACTCAGCTCCACTTCTCCAAGACTGGCAGACTGCTGCTCCTCAGTTGCCCTGGTCTTCAAAATGCCCTTGGGTCTCTTCAAACCTGGCTTGTCCTCTGCTCCGCTGAGGGACTGTCCGGCTTCAACATTTTCCTTCTTAGATTTTTTGGGCCTCTGGCGCATCATATGGAGAACGGCTGCAGATTTGGCTACGGTACCTCGTGGCTCAGTACGGTTCTGCCAGTCGATGAAACGTGCCAACATGGGCGAGCCTCCGTGGTCTCGTTGGGTCTCGCAGTCACACACACTGTTCTTCCAGCCCCAGTTGACCCACCAGTGATTAGCTATGTCCTCCACGGTGGCTCGGCGCTCAGGATTCACCATCAGCATCCAGCGGATCAGTCCACGGGCATCTGGGAGGAAACAACCATCCATGAGATGTCTCATTACATGCAAACTTTTTCGGTGTGACCCCTCGAACGAGAAGGTCTTGATATCTTTTTTGTAAGTTACGACACTACCTGAGGATTGTGTGGGCTCTTTGTAATCGCCGTTGCTGATCTGGCGAATGAGGTTCTTGTGGTCTCCCCCATCAAATGGCATTGTTCCATAGACCAGGGTATACAGCAGCACCCCGAGAGCCCAGCTGTCCACCTGGTGAAAACAAACATCTGATCACAAACCTGTTCCTCCAGTCAAAACAAACTCGGCGAAACATGCAATGTTGATGCAGTTGTGTAGGCAGAAAACCCCCCAGAGGTGAGTTATGCAACCTAAATGCAGTCCTGCAAGCCCTGTTTTGATTAGTGATTCATAACAATAAAATGTGAATGAGCTCAGCTCTGCTCGACATTGGTTTAGAGCCCCAAATTATTTTTAAGTTTAGACAAACAATAACAGACACAGCTTCATACCTGGCAATTTTTAGACACATTTCCATAAAGGGACACCATAACCAATGCATGTAACGTTGTGGGAAATGTCTTGCTTCCATTGAGATATACTATTCTCTCCCCCCCCCCCCCCCCCCCCCCCAATTCTCTCCTGCTCTGTCAGGCAGCAGCAAAAACTTTGTAAGAACCAACTTAATGAAATGCGACAGTCTACAAAGTAACATAAGACTTTGTGTTTTAGTGGCATGAAAAAGGCCATGAGGGGAAGTGGTGGGAGAAGAAGGACCAGAAGAGACAGTAGAAGTGGGATTCCAGTAGCTGACAGAAACAAGACCTGTCTCTCCCTGAGAGTGTGTGAGACAGAATTTGACAAATATGTGACTGTTTACAGAAAATGCAAAAGCCATGTTCAGCGCCTTGGGCTTCCTTACAGGGTTGCGGAAGGCGCTTTATAAATAAAGCTTTGATTGATTGATTGATTGTAAATGTGTAGATGTTCTGAGGAATGCGTTTCTGATTGGGGGAAGTTAGAGCGCTACGACAGAAGAGGAAAAGGAAATCAGACAACAGTTAAGGAGCTGGTGTACTTCCTCTAGGACTCTGGATATACATCAAGAGGGCGAGACAGGGTACCAACTTTTGCTGTGTGCAACTTTTGCTGCCAGTGATTGTGGCCTCGACCCAGCTGAGGTTAGTGTTGGTAGCAACTGCACTCAAACACTATTCAGTAAATTTAATCAAATGATTCTGAATGAATGTCTAAAATAAATACCCTAAAATGCATTTCCCCTCTTTTGGATTGTTTTTAAGACAAAAACACTTGTTACAGGTGTGACTGACTAAAAAAAACTTTTTAAATTATTATTTCTAATCGGTCATTCAGAGTTTTTCATGCAGGGTGAACATGAAAACGGTCTTCTACACCTATCTTCTGCATTAGCTCCTGATGGAAAATAGATATCACACTGAATTTGCATTCATGGCCTCACCCCTCTCGGCTCACACTGACCCACAGGAAGGTTTTTTTCCTATATGTTTTTTTGCATCGAGGAGAGAGGAGAGAGTGTCGTGGTGGTAGTTACTTTGCAACATGGCTGAATGTGTTCTGTTAGCAAATCAGAAGTGAGGTGTGTGTGCATATAATTAATAATAAAGAGCAATCCTGCTGCTTTCAGCCCACCTCTGCACCTGCAAAATTCTGCATCTCAGAACAGTATTAATGTGCAAATGCATTAATTAAATGAGTAAACCACATCTTCAAGGTTCCAGTTAAGCAAACGTTTTTAAAGAAAACTATTTAGTGAGACTCTAATTTATACCATGCATGTGCTTTAAAGTTGTAAAGTTCATTTCATTCTTATTCAGATTAGTAGAAAGTGAGCACACAACACTCTTCAGTTCCTTACTTCAAAGGACCCTAACACCGTAGGAAGGCAACACTAGGGAGGGATGCCAATGGAGACCTATGGAGTTAAAAAAGACACCCCATGCCCCTTGTCTGTGGACTAATCTCATCAAAGACATAGAACATGAAGCCTGCTCACAAATTTGTGAATGGTTCACCCAGTGACCATAATCCCTTGTTAGGTAATTTTATTAAAGACATACACAGTAAGTGAAGGTCAAATTTTATTTAAACCCTGGCAAAAATGTTACTTTGGATTATGGCTTTTAGCATTCACCTCTGACAAAACAAAATCTGTCTCTTTTAAAAGTTTCATCTACAAAGCAGAGGCATGTCTGGGGCCCAGACTGAAGTGTTAATCTGGATCGTTGAGCCTTACCTCTGGGCCACGGTATGGTCTTCCATTGACAATCTCTGGTGAAGCATAGAGCGGGCTGCCACAGAAAGTTTGCAGCAGTTTATCCTTGTGATAGAGGTTGGACAGCCCAAAGTCAGCAATCTGAGGAGACATTTCACACAAACCATGAGGTCCTCTGTGCGCAAAAACATAGTCTGAGACAATGAAGTACTGACTAACCTTGATATTACAGTTTTCATCCAGTAGCACGTTTTCCAGTTTCAGGTCCCTGTGCACCACACCGTTCTGAGAGTAAGCAAGAAGAAAGAAACTGAATAATGCATCTGTCTGTATTTATTATGTATGAGCAGCCCTTTGTCATGTGAAATGATTTTCTCTAAAAAAGAAAGCTTGTAATTCTCAGGGGAAACTGAGGCCTGGCTGTTTTTAATTGGTCTTGTGCCCTCTCAGGTCTTTATGCTGACATCTGCTGTGATTTTGGTCTTGAACTGACTCACATGTGTCACATAAACATGCTTGTAATTACCACCCTGTGCAAATGATGTTCTCGCCGCGTTTAAAACAAAACAAAACAAAACAAAACACAGCATAAAAGCAACAACTCTGCAGCTAATGACAGTGCTTAACAAAACATCTAGGAATTAAAATGTGGTATTGCAGAAAGAAAGAATGCAGCTCAGATGTGGACAAATGACATAACCCATCCGCCTCTGCCAGCCTGCGCAGCATTCGCATGGCATCGCGCATTGGTTATCGTCTGGCATGTAGCTCATGTTCACATGACCGGATTGGTGGATGCAAAAGAAAAATGACTGCTTGCTTGTTGTGTGAGTGACTCACACCACCCCGCCTGGCGGGAGGCTACGCTTGGTGGTGATGATTCATCATTTGTGGCTGTCTGGGACTCTCCTGTCTGAGGACAATGACCTCAGTCCTATCTCCAGGGAAAAGCGTGGCAGGAGGGGATCCCCTCGGGACAAGCCTATTGGCCTTTAGGGGCTTCAGTGGGGGTAGGGAGGTGAGGACCATGGGCTGACACAGGTGTGGCTGGAGATAAACCCTTTAGGAAAAGCCTTGAAGGGGGAGTCTTGGGACATCTTAGAACTGAATTAAAGCAGAGCCTGTGTGCTGCACTGGCCTGTAATCGGAGCATATGCCTGAATAAAACTGGCCCGTGTCCTATCTTAACTAAAACAGATGACTGTTTCACACCAGCGTGCCAAGAAAAGCACGATGTGTAGGCTCAGCAGATTAACTTGCAGCAGTATGTGGCTGACTGTGTGGTGCTTGGCTAGTGTATGACAGAAGACACATTTTAATGTAATTAGTAAATTAATACTTGTGGGGATTTTTTTTCCTGTTCACCTTATGGCAGTGGTGCACAGCAGAGACGATCTGTCTGAAGAAGTGTCGCGTCTCCCGTTCACTCAGGCGCCGACGCTCGCTGATGTAGTCGTACAACTCGCCTTTACTGGCATACTCCATCACAATCACGATTTTGTCCTTGTTCTCAAACACTGAAAAATAAAAATGTAGCACCTTAACACATATACAGTTTAAATGTATGGGCCAACGGGGACAAAAGAAATACTTAAGTTCTTCTGGGTTCATTTTACACCCTATAAACAAAACAAATGAGCTATATTTGTTGTAAAGTACACTGGTTTTGTTTGATTTGGGAGAAAATTCCAAAGAAGGACATCTCATCCCAACACCTCATGGGTTTACATCATCGTAACCACACCTCATGAGTTTGGCTCATTGCAGGGAGAGGCTGTTAACTTAATCAAACCCACTCTTCAGAGACCTGAATGAGTGAGCATTAAAACAGATCCCAAATGAAGAAATGAGGATGAAACATTTAGTTGATTAAGTGATCAAGCAGCACAATAATATTAGCCTCCCAGAATCTACAAATAGACCTGACACATTTCAACTTAACACTGAGTTGCTACTTTGCACGACACACTCTCATATTCCTCCCGAGTCAGTCTTATCTTTATCAGTCTCAAACGAAAACAACACCTAACAAATAAAGCAGATTTTTGTGTGTTTCTGTGATGTGAATTATGAGGGGAAAGAAACAAGCTTTAAAAATCTTTATTCAACTTTTCCCATCCCAGAATAAAGCAACAAAACTGTGTTTTATTGTACTGACAGAGTTTATGTGACCAAAGCAGAATAATTAAAACTGCCAGAATAAGCTTTTTTTTAACTTTAAGTCTAACAATGCCTGTTACATCACACTGCCACAGCACGTTTCACATCCACCAACTGTTGACAGAACATAATTTTAACTTACGAGTGTGAAATATCTGCTTTGCAACATACTTGGCATTATGATAATGGGAGTTAGGTGAGGAGAGAAGGAAAGAGATAAAGACCAAGGGAACACCAAGGCCATGACATCAACAACGCTGTCAGCCAAGCTGATTTTCCCACAGAGCAGGGTCACCAAGGGTGAGGGCCTCTACTTTCTACACCCATGAGTGAACACCTTCAGTCTGTCCCTCTTTCCCCCTACCAGGACCCACTTTACAGATTTAATCCTCATCCAAAACACACAGCTGCTGAGTGATGGTAATGCTCCCTGATTGTGACTGTCTGGCTGCTTGGGAAATAGCAGAAGGGGGTAAGCCAACCATTCCCGAGGGCAGAGTAGATCCTGCCCTCTGATTGGTGAAGAGAAGGGGAACCCGGGGCGACATCTGCACTGATCCTTGATGGGCTTGTTCTTAGAAAGCCAGTTCGCAGCTTGCACTCTCATTTACCTTTGACCCCTAGTGGTGAAGTAATTACCTGGCTTACATAAATTGGGTTTGATGCGGTCTGATGGCTACACCAGCCACCGTTATAGTCTCTCTCTCACTCACTGGGCTTTGTTCATGTGTCAGGCCATCTTCTGATTAATTAGCACCAATTGTCCTGACAAGCAAGTTGATGGAAAACCCCATACTGACAAGTTAGGAAGAAGATAAAGGTAGAGAAGCAGTGCTGCAGACAATAATGAGCACTCTTATTCACCAATGCTTTTGCTTTGCTCACTTAATAACAGGGATGTAAGAAAATATCAATGTGGCCATATATATCATGATACATTTTTTTCCTGTGATTTTATATAGATATTCAATGGTCGTGTATCTAATTTTTGGAAGAATTTACATGCTAAAATGTGTGTATTTTCTTATCTTTCAGTGCAATTCAAATGCAGACCACTAGTTGGCAGTATGTGCAATGGGTTTTGTTTCAACCATTGAAATGTAAATCCCTCTGTTATGGTTCAGATACCTCATGTTAAACATGTTAAGCATCAGTTTGGACTATTTATGTCACATTCTGCATCCCAGCCTTGGTTGCCTGTCGTCTTCCCTTGTTGTGTTTATTGGTTGCACCTGCCTCTTGTTAACCTGATCACCTGCTCCTGTGTATTTAAGCCCTTGCCGTCATGTGTCTTTTATCGGTTCATCAGTTAACCTCGCCTTATGTCTTCCCATGTCAATGTGCTTCGGTTCCTGTTGTTTTTTACAATAAATGGATTAAGGTATTTGCTGCCTCTGAGCTTCACTCATCTGCATACGGGTCCCAAACCAACACTCACCGTGACAGTTTATTGAATATTCCTACAATAAATTCTGTCTAAAAAAACGCTAACGTCTGACTTAACGTATTACAGTATATCGTGATACATTGTATCGTCTCTCCTGTATTGTGATACATATCGTATCACCAAAATTCCACCAATACACATCCCTACTTAATAACACTGTTGGTGCATGATGTGCCGTTGTGTCTTTCCAAAATTGGCCCTTGAAGGAAATTGAAAAGACATCAGCATATTGTGACCATTTTGGCAGTGAGTGACATCACCGATCAGTGCACAAAGGCACCAGGAGAAGCAGAAAATATTGAATGACAGTAGAAAAAGCAAGGATGGTTTCCATGTTTCTACGTTTTTACATACGACAGCAGCAATGAATTAATGACTTCATCTCAAAGGTTTTTCCCCTTTCATTCTGCTTTGTGTAATGATTTAATTTACATCTATTTAATGAACCATAAGATGTGAGATTCCATAGGAAATATGAAATCAATCTCATGGATCTTTGGATAACTTAAACCAGAAGATTGGAACTTTTTATTGCAGGGATTATGTAACACTTCGTATTAACTGAGAGACAAGAGAAGAGAGAGTCACCTTTAAAACGTTTAAGACGATTTATTTCTAAACAATTTTAAACAAGACTAACTCTAAACTCTAAGTGATGAATGGATCTTGGTGTGAATGAGACGTGAGATGGATGGTGCATGTGTGAGTGATAGGGATGGGTACCGAATTCAGCACTTTTTAAGGTACCGACCGAATTCCATAGTACCGACTGAGCACCGATTCACGTCATTTCAAACGGTGCCTCGTTTTGGTACCCGTCCTTCATAACGAGAACTTGCCTAGACAGCTGCGCATGCGCAAGAGCATTATGTTGTCGGTCGCTGTGAGCCAGTTGTAAACAGAGCAGCATGGTAGAAAGAACGCACGCTAAAGCTTGGGTCCACTTCACTAAATGTGATGGGTAACTGGGTGATGATGAAACCAGTGACAACGATCTAAGTGAGACATCCTCATCTTAATCTGCTCCGGTAGGTAAATAAAATGTTTAAGATAACTTTAGCTTCTGTTTCGCTAATGGTGCGTTCGCTTTCTCCTCGGAACTCTGAATTTCCGACTAGAAGAACATGAACGTGCTCTAAAGTTTGGCTTCACTTTACTAAATGCGACGGGTGATTGGGTGAAGATGAAACCAATGACAATGATCTAAGTGTGAGGCATCATCATTTTAATCTGCTCCAGCAGTTAAATAAACTGTTTAAGATAACGCTAGCTTGATATGTTAGCTTCCATTGCTCCCATTGTTATCAGCTAATGGTGCGTTCGCTTTCTCCTTGGAAATTCTAACTTCCCAGTAGGAAAAATCAAATGAAAAAGGACAGCAAAAGGAATGAAGCTACACAGTAAATTTAGTTCACAGTAAAGATGTTTGCTTCAGTTTAATTATCAGCTTATAAAACTACAAGAATGATGTTAAAATACAAACAGTTGTATGTTATTTATCGTGATATTTATCAAACATGTTTACATATTGAGGAAAAAATATATATTTAATTATAAAAGAGAATTAAAATATTAAACACTCAAAAGTATCAAAAATTGGTACCGTTAAGTACCGGTATCGATTCCTAGGTACCGGGAATTAGTAGCGAATAGATTCAAATGTCAAAGGTACCCATCCCTAGTGAGTGATGTTGTCATCAGAACTCTCGTATCTGGAGAAGCAAGTCTGAGTGATGAAGTGATGTTTTGCTCTTAAGCTATGGTGGGTCCACACGAGTTGTGCTTCCCTCTCAAACCCTATGGGTAACAGTTCCACGTGGTACTACGGTCCATATAGGTGAGGTCTCTCTATATTACTTGGATCTTGGTGAGCATAAGTCTAAGGTGGAGTTTTCTCCTTTTTATGATAACATCTCCTTTGCTCTTTCTCCAGCTACGGTGGATCGTGTTACATTCGATGGTCCGACCATGGTTCAGGTGGGTGTGCTGAACAGGGTGCTGCGTGAGTTGTCGGCAGATCCCGGTCTCAGGTTTCAACCAGTGTCTTAGTCTTGGTCCTCCACTGATTCTGTCGTGATATTCACTGCATGCCTAAACCTCAGCCTGTCGTGGGGTTTGTCATTTTTCCTGTTCCGTCACTTCTCCACACGCGTGACCTTTCTAGGGGACTCGGTCCGCAGCGTCGGGTGGCGCCTATCTCGGGCCATCGCACTGGTTCGTGAAGCACCGGCTGCCCAGATGCCTCCGCCTGAGCTGGCCGGTCCTGCTCCTCCACCTGCACCTCCTGCGCCTTCAGCTAGAACTTCTAAAGTGGAGTGATTCCTATTGCCAGACTCGTCGGCTCCATAGGTCTCTATCTCGAGTTACACAAGTTTGTCTATGTTTGTGTGTGTGCATGTTGTCTTTCCTGTTTAGACATGACTTGCAGACTTGGGTGATTTGAGATGAACATGCTGTGGGTTCCTAAAGTCAGGTAATCAGTTAGTTAACAGTAGATGGGTTTAGTCCACATATTACGATTATCCAAATTTGTTTTTATTTTCACTAATCTTAATTCCTTATGGGTACATTCACATGTAGGTTGATTACTAACTTCACTGATTTACATTTTTAGTGCTCTTTAACACTCATATATCTATCTTTTTTATAGAATTTTACTACAGTGATTAAGTTTTGAAAACTTTATGATTAACTTTGTTAATTTACCTTTATGGGCTACAACCATTTTTGCCCCCCTTCATTTTGATAACATTTTTACTTAGTGCAGTGATTTCTCCCATACGCAGTATAGGGTTTTATTAATTTTATTCTTTTTGCACCACTTTTTCCAGTACACGTAGTGTATTGCATCCATTTCTTCACTTAAAACGCTAATTCAAATAATTGCTACACATAGTACATGCAGGTACT